CATAATGTCTTATTTTGGGGTTCACTATTTGCTCATAGGTGGGTGCGTAACAGGTGCTACCACCCAGAATCAGGGTGACCCTGGGAATAACATTAATTAAGAGGTGGTTCCACTCTCCTCAAAAGCTCCAATCTCCCGATCAGAGGACTCGTTGCCGGATGTAATTTATCGTCATTATATTAGAGACAACATCATGCTGTATTTATGGAGATATCTCAACTAGTTAGAGATTTGAACCATTGCCATATAGTGAAAACATGAACCATTTTGACTATAGTTTAATCTCAGTGATAAAGCGGTAGAATGAATATTGGGTGGTTATTTGTTCCCTCGAACATGTAGAGTAACATGGATCCCCCCCCCGCCTAAATGATAAGTGTTTTTAGCACTAATTCTCAAAGAAAATTATAGAACTCATAAAATTAAATAGTTGTCAGTAAATTTTAGTTTTAAATTTTAGGCTTCAAATGGCAGGTTTCGGGAAGATTGCAACGTCTTTCATCAAAGAGAAAGAACATGATTAAAAGAAAGGCAAAAAAGATGTTTTTTTAAGTGGCAAGACGTTTATATGATACTCAAGATGTAGAAGTATTTTGCTCAAGACATAAGTTGTGATCCTATTACTTTTATTTTTTAAAACTAGGGAATGAATCTTTTTAAAATTCTGTGTTCTCTCAGGATGTAGGCAGTCATTGCTCTGCATAGATTGCCTTTTATGTTCTCAGTGGATTTATCTGATGGTCACTCCTTGTCGTGGTGTGTGAGTCAATGATTCTGAGAGGGATGCCGTAGCGAGTTCTAAACTCTTGGTAGGGCAACCTTTGGCAGCAAGATTGAAGACGAGGATCCAGACCTAGCGTGACTAACACAAAGTCCCCAACGACGAAACAAGCGGATGACGATTAGAACAGGTCTCATCGGTTGAACCAGCGGATGAAGAGGGCTACGCATGGTGGATATTCTACAGAAGGCGCCACTCGAAAGTATAAGAGCAGCAGTTCGATGCAGTTTCATAACTGGACTTTGCACATCTCGTTCCGTATGTGTTGCAGAGGAAGGTTATGAAATCAAGTGTGTCGGTCACTTCCTGGAAGGTTGAGATTCAACAAATTCATGCCATCTGCACGTTCTTCTACGCTGATTGTCTTTAATCTCCAATCAAATCTTGCAAAGCCAAACGGCGATAAGGAATGCATGACGGGAGCAAGTTTTGGTGGAATTGGAAACTTCTAGTCCTGAACGAGCACGTTGGGGACGAATTTAGCCATCAACGCCATCATTATAAAAGATGCGACCAGCAAAGAAGAAATTAAATTCTTGGATACGAGATTGTTGTGGTAGGATCCACCTAATTTGCATAGTGGAGTACCGACCATATAAATATGGTTGGTACCGGGAAGAGAGGGAGGAATCAAGAGATTCAACCAGAGACTCTGCCCGACTGCGACTCAGTCAACACATTCTCCAGGAACGGTCTTACCAGGAATATACAAAAGACTATATGTAAATATTGTGTACACTTTCTTGTTTCAATACATTTTGTTCTAAGTACATTTTGTGTTGCATTATTATTCCATGCATTAGTCAAGTTTCAACAGAGATAAAAAGAGATAAAAGAAGCGATCAACAAAGAAGAAATTCAATTCTTGGATACGAGATAAAGCCGCCGCCGCCGCCGCCGCCGACGACGACGACTCAGTGAATTGCCATGCTTTACTGTTGTTCAATTGATTTGTTTGTTCAACGGCATATCAACTGCTTATGGGCCATTTAATGCCGAAAGTTAATTTTCTTGGGACCTTTGAGTAATAAAAATACGATAAATGTTATTCTGCTTTCACAATTGAATACATGGTAGATGATACTCAGCTTTTGTGCATATACATGTCTGTGTGGACATGATTATTTGAAGCGGTGATATTTTTTTTAAGCATTTCACCCCAAGCAAAGTGGGAGTGCCACTAGCACTCAAGAGGTTACAGGGAGTGGGAGCAAGAGTAAAGAGGCGCGATAGCGGAAAGGATGAAGAGAAGAACGGGAAATTAGATCAAGGCATCTGAAGATGTCGATTGACATTGCGTTTAAATAATTGAAGATTATAGCTATCAGGGAAGCAGAGAAAGGGAGTTCCACAGACGGGAAGTGCGAGAAATGAAGCTATTGCAGTAGAAGAGACGGTCACATTTAACATTTTTGATAGTGAAAGGATGGGACCGAGATGCCAACCTAGTAGCACGCTTAAATTCATGCAGTTTGGGAACCAGCGAAATTAGGTCGTCGGAACAGTTACCGTGAAAGTATTTGTAGAAAAGACAGAGGGAAGTGACGGCACGTCTGTGAGAAAATAACTATAGACGAGATGCCAGATCAGGACCAATCACATTGCATATACGTCTCTGGATTTTGTCGAAGATTTTTGAGACAAACAGCAGGGGATCCAGACTGTATATGGCAACTGTATTACATGCAAAGGCGAATGGCTGATTTATAGATTTGAAGGATGGACTGGACGAGAAAAACTTTCTGATGCAGCACATAGAACCAACTTCACTTGCGGTAGATGAAGCTATTGATTCAATGTATTTGTTCGATCTGAGGTCAGCGGACAGTGTGAGACCAAGCAGGCGCAGAGAGGTGATCTCGTAGAGTTGGGCATCAGACATTCTAATGGGAGGCAGGAAGGGTTCTCGCTGGTGGGTAAAAGAGCAGTTTTGTTTTTGAGACATTAAAGTTTACCAGCAATTTCCTGCCTCAGTCAACAACCAATTGGAGGTCCTTTTCGAGACCAACGGCCAGGTTAGTTTTGTTAGCGATACCAGATTTGCTATTGAGACAGGAGTAAAAAGTAGTGTTGTCTACATAGATACCTACTTGGGAAGATCGTTAATGAACATCAGAAACAGTGTTTGGACCCAGGATAGAGCCTCGGGGAACACCTGCGTCTGTGAGAAAGGAACTGGAGGAGAATCTGTTTAGGACGACCTTCATTATTGTTATGGGACCTTACCCATAATAACATAATGGACTATTCCATACGTAATAAATACTGCGCCTCAAGAGGAAGCAGGGAGTTCATTCTGAAGTCTGGAGTGAAGTCCGTCAGAAGTCTGTCAGTCAGTCAGAGCGAGCGAGTCAAACAGTCGAGTCAGAGGCATTCCGAAACAGAGTCGCGTTCAGACAATTACTACTAAACCTGATTGTTCGTACTAACACTTTCTACTTCTCTGTATATATTCCTGTTTGTAATATATGTGTTATTCCATATCCGCCTTCGAGTTCTTCTTTATTGGTTCTACCTTGGACTATCACCGTGGTACAAGGAACCGGATCATAACAATCATACGGTTTAACAGGAAAGATTGTATTAAGCCAAATAACCGTCTTGAAATTCTGTATCCCTGCAGCATGCGAAGAAGGCCGACACGCGAAACTCTATCAAACGTTTTAGACATATCTAGAGCCACAGCTCGAGCTTCTCCGTTATTGTGAAGTGCTTGGTAAATAAATTCAATTATGACAGTGAGCACATTAGCGGTAGATCCGGCAAGGCGGGAATCATATTGCTTGTCAGAGAGCAGATCATGGGATGTGTGTATTGTAGAGTTATAATTTGGAATACAGTTTCATCTCTTTAAGATATTGTAGGATATTATGCAGATAAATGTAATGAAAAAGTTATTTCCCGTTGGTTGTTTGATTGCTTCATTTTGTTTGGCGTCATATCAACTTCTATGGGTTATTTAATATTTAAATTTACATATTTTAAACATAATTTTACGGCTTCAACTAAATAGATTTTGAGCGCAATTGTATACTTTTAACTACAGGTAAAATGTATTGTTGGTTATTTTACTATAAATAGGTTTCGTTGGTTGTTTTTAGCGTCATATCAACCTCTACGGGTTATCTAATGCTCAAAATCTAAATATTTTGTACATAATTTTATTCTTCTATGATAAAGGTATATTTTTTTTAGATATATAGTTTGTAGGTCATAAAATGTCTTGTTGGTAACTTTACTATAAACATCTATTTTTATATTTTTTAGTGCATTATTGGTAATTTTACTATAGAAAAATGTACTGTTGATCTGGTTTGGGGTTCAATATTTTCCCATAGCTTGGACCCCAACTGATGCTATCATCCCGGATCAGGGTGAACATGAAAACAACAGCACTTAAGAGGTCCTAGCCAGGACGCGCTTTCTTGAGAAAGAAAATGGAATAGTTTCCAGCTACCTTCTCTACATTTTGAAATTTCTTCTCTTAATTTCCTTCTTTTAGACCGGTTGCCAATCAAGGCTATATATCCTAGTTTATCTTACTATTTAACAAATAGTGCGCGGGGGGAAGTGATGGATTCATGCATTTTCTAAGTGTATTTTGGTGGAAGTGAATAAACAGAGAGTAGAAAAACTTTTTATCTTTTTTGTAAAATTTTAGACTAGAAAACATTCAGATAGTCCTTTCTTACTCGTAATAAATTCGTTTTAACACATTTGATGTTATGATTTGATGTTGCGAATGATTTCCTTTAGGCGATCAACGTTTTATGTATTTTATTGGAAAAAAAACTTTGAAATATCGACTTTAAAGTGCGGTGAGACCGGAACGTGATTATCACGATTTATCAATGTTTTCGGAAAATGTTGGCCTAAATATCCGCGAATCTGGAAACTATTGATCCGAGTATCCATTAATCCGGGAATTGATTATTCAACTTCCCATGAATCCTCGAACTGCTGATCTAGCAATCCATGAATCTGTAAAAGTCTACTCAAACTATCCATGAATCCTAGAACTGTTGATTCAACTGTCCATTAAGCCAGAATTCAGAAATTACTGAGCCAACTATCCTTGAATCCGGAAACTACTGAAATAATCATCGATTAATTCGGGAATTGATTCTTTACCTATCCATGAATCTTGAAACTGTTGTTCCAACTATCAATAAATCAGGGAAACTTCTAATCCACCTACCCACTAATCTGGAAACTGCTGATGCAACTATCCATGGATCCAGAAACTGACGATCCATCCAACATATTCAGCGTTAATTTCTCTTCTCTCTGGAGCTTTGGGCCCTTCGGTGGATATAAAAAAAAGTTGATCCCCATTACTGCTGGAGAATCAGATTACATATGAAAAAAGTTTACTTTAAAAAAAAAAAACCTTTTATGTACCTTTTTTTTACAAAGACTCTACATCCACGTAAGGTTGAAAATTTTATTTCATGGTTTTCATTAGAAATTAGCAACAGTTCTAAAAAGAACTGTGCTAATTTTAAATACCATTATCAAAAATTTACCTTTTCTAAAATGTTTCCTCCTTTTACTAATTATTCATTTAAACGATGGGAATATGATGTTGGACTTGTATTATTAAGAAATATGTGTTAGAATTATGACAGTAAAACTTTGCAGAAAACTGAGGTGTTTCAAACAAAAAGGAACTGCATGAAATCAAACATAAAAGTCGATTTTATGCAATTTCTTAAAGAAGGGATACCTCTTACAAATATATATTTCTTTAAAATCTTAATAACATTTAAAAAATTTGTTTTCCATGATTGCATAAAGTATTTTTTCCGTGTTCAAAAATCTATTTTCGTTGAGCCTATTGTTGAGAAAATTAGTTCCACGCTTGGATTAATAGAAATATTTATATTACATTTTGATGTAATTTGTTTTGTGACGAGAAAAATTTAATCTCCAAAATTTAAAAATATCTTTAATAAATAAAGGATTAGGAGAATTATCAGATTATTTCTTGGCAATTTTTCTATTACTTCGGCAGAAGATACTTGGCGTTGTAAATCGTTTATTCTGATTTTATTCTTCGTGAAAGTTTCAAGAAAGAAAGAAAAAGGAAGTTCTTATTGTCATTAAGAGTCGAAATTTGTGAAAAACTGGATTTCGAACGTTTAATTTTACTGCAAGCATTTTATACGAAATCCCCATGGAATGTAGTCATTAGACAATCTTTAAAAAGAGCTACGGCACCGTCAAAACATTGGCTAACATTAAAAACACCTAATGATCTTAATTTAGTTGTACGGCCAATGAGTTTAGGCAAATTTAACATTTGGTATTTTTGTTTGGAAGGGATTTGTTATCGTTTTAATTAATTCGGGAGATGGTTCTGGGTTTGTTTCTCCTCTTGCTAATTTTCCCTAAAATTGTTTCCCTTGTTCATTCTTAAAATCCACACGTAATCCTCAAAGATTTCAATTTTATTACAACTGACCACCATAAATTAGATTATGAAATGATTTACAACTCTCCTGCTGTATCCAATGTTTCCAGAAAATCTATGGCCAAATGAAATCTTTTAACAAGTCATCTCCCACCCAAGTCTCAAAAGCTGGATGGGAAGTGAAACTAGAACAACACACAGAAACATTATGAGCAGCAACAAAAAACAAGAAACGAAAAGAAAAAGCATATGAGGAACCAGCGGCAAGGGACAGCTTATAAACACATACAACAACAAGAGCAGCAGGAAAAATGCAAATAACGAAACCTGAGAAGATAAAAGACAGGCTAAGGGGGAACCCTCAATAGAGTTCTACAATACAAATACAATAGAACATAGTAAAACAAAAATTATTTTATCAAGAAGCAAATGAAGAACGAACAAAAAAGAAAAAGAAAGAATCGAATAACAGAATGTTACACAAACGAAACAATTCTAGATTAACCTGTAGAAACGGAAAATCTAAAAGAAATCAGCAGATATACTAAGTGGTTGCCTAGAGAGGATAACGACTTGGAAGGGATTAAAGATGTACAGGATGTTGGAATATACATATAAACATTTTAAAAAAAAGCATTAAAAAGTTATCAGTTGGAAAGTACCTGTTACTGATCATATTCATGACTCTTAGATAAAGTCATTCACTATAAGAAGTTTTGTTTCTTGTTTTAGAATATAAACTTTTTTTCTGGTTACTTAATGACAATTTCTGTCGTTTTGATGAATAGACATGTAGACACAAGTTTGGTTTTCAAAAGAGTAAAAAAGGTAGACATAGGTATGAAAAACAGGTATCTCCTTTTGTGTTATTTTAACCTTTTGCATGGGGATGTAGTCGGTGTATTCCCGATCCCAGACGACTGGGCTGAATTTCTTAGAAACGAGCAGTTACACAAACGTCTCAAAGAAGCAATAATCTCTAAATGGATGGTGAGAAGTATATCTCCCTTTATCCAGAAAGATATAAGGAAGGGAAACATTCCCAAATCCTACACTGATAACATGCTTCTCCATGACGTGGAAAATCCTAAGAAGTCACCCAAGTAATCAATAATTGATTGAAAGCCGAGAACGATTTCTTGAGGAATGGATAGGATGCCAAAATCAAACTTGAGGCACAAGTGACAAAATTATAGTGACAGAAGCTAAAACAAGAAAGTGAAACACATGTAGTATGGATACACTACAAAATGGCGTATGGCATGGTACTAAATCTTGGCAAACAGAATGACAGAAGATGATAAAAATTGTAAGAGTATATCATAGTAAAGGCAATAGAAATTTGGAAGGTGAATGGCAAGAAAAAGTTGGAAAAAAGATATCGGAAAGATTCTTTGTTCGGATTATAGCGCTTAAAATGAAAGAACTGTAGTCAAGGTAAGATATTCACAAAGTCGAGGATTAGCTAATTTTTTTTTTTTTTGCTAAAAAAGAAGAGATTAGAAGCCATAATACAAACGGCCATCATTTTCATCCAAGATTTAGGAATGGAATTTAGTATGGAGATGTGTGTAATGCTAGAAATGAAAAACAGAAAAAATGAAGCAACATTCCGGTACTTTATAACCCAGGACATCCGATAAAAAGAATTACTTTAAATCCCTTGACATTTGAGAAAGAGATATCATCAAGTATGTGAAGAAAAAGTTAACATTGAATGCCTCATATCTATCTATCTATCTATCTATATATATATATATATATATATATATATATATATATATATATATATATAGCTTGATCAAATATGGATTAGAATCCGGCAGAAGGATAAAAGATATGATAAACGCTTCCTATATTGTATATATATATATATATATATATATATATATATATATATATATATATATAGAGAGAGAGAGAGAGAGAGAGATAGAGAGAGAGAGAATGATAGATATAATCAATTCAATCGAAGCAAGACGATAATGGCACTAAGACGTAAGCGGCTGCTGGAAGTGAAAGAAAATGAAAAGAATTTTGAAGGAACCGGAAACCTAATTTAAACAGAAAACAAGATGATAAACTTCTACTCATGTTCAAATATATATCTCTGCAACGGATCTCTCTCTCTCTCTCTTTCTTTCTCTCTCTCTCTCTCTCTCTTTCTCTCAATCTATATTTTTGTATATATATATATATGTATGTATGTAGCCAGAGGGTGCGATAGATAAATTGTCGTCTACATTACGCAGAAATGAAAATAACACTGATATCTCATTTTAACAATTATATTTACCATAATTACGCAAACATAGAGAATCTAAAGAGTAAATTTATTCAATAAAATCGCCATCGGTTTCAGTCACGACCTGCAGACAACTTCGAAATCTTCTGAAATTCTTCTGGAAGATCTCCTTGTTTAAGTTGGTGAATGCTGCCATAATCCTTACCTTTAGTTCATCTTTGTTGTTACAAGAGTTTTGTTAGCCTCTCACTCAACTGCGCCCTACACATAATAATCAAGGGGTTGCAGTCTGGAGAGTTAGGTGGCCATATATTACGGGTGATGTGGTCGCAGAAATTGTCTGACAGTCATAATTGGGTTTTCCTACTTATGTGGCCTGGTTTAGAGTCCTGTTGCTAGTCATAGGGTCATCCAACTGCCACCCACTTCAGCCAAGCAGCACTACCTCCTCAAGTGTTGAGTCTGAGGTCTTTACCAACACATTTGGGAGTTTTTTTTTCATTTCCAAGCTGCCGTATCTTCACTCAAACACTCTAAAATGTCCGTATTCGAGCTTCCAGCGCAAATGCGCAAATGCCAAGAGGTAAAGCATGTCGCTTCCAAATTTCTGGCAGAGTGAATTGTGTCATGGTGATCTTTTTCTCGCAGACAGTGCCCAACTGACCCTACTATACGTTGCAGTCGACAAAATCAAAACAAACAACGCGCATGCGCGAAATTAAAAAGAATAAGATGTCGACAATTTATCCATCGCACGATATATATATATATATATATATATATATATATATATATATATATATATATTATAAGAGATTATAATAAAACACTTTGAAAACATTTTGAGATCGCTTTTTTATTATAATCTCTTATAATAAAAATATAATAATAATATATTGTTCTACATTGTACCGAACACTTTTTAAGTCTAAATGCTACCAACAACGGATTTTTACTCCATCTGTCCTTTCTATATATATATATATATATATATATATATATATATATATATACAAGAGAAACAAAATCGGTAGGTAGATTACATACAAAAAACACATTAAAAAAAAATTCAAATTTAAAATTTCAACGTTTCCTCTCTTTCTTGCGCATCAAAGTAAACCTCACTTTAGTCCGATGAAGTCCCAAAGGACGAAACCCACCACGCAAAACCTTTTTCCATTTTGCCATAGAGTTTCGGAAAATACAAGAGAGAGATAGATAGAGACAAAGAGAGACGGGGAAGAAAGATAGAAAGAAGAATAGGGGACTTTATGAGAAATGAATAAAGGGAAACATTATGGGAACAGGAACACAGATAAAACTGTCTCTCTCTCTCTCTATTTATATATATATATATATATATATATATATATATATATATATATATATATATATATATATATATATATATATATATATATATATATATATATATATATATATATATATATATATACATACATACATATATATATATATATATATATATATATGTGTGTGTGTGTGTGAGTTGTGTGTGTGGTAGAATTTCTTGTCGATTTCGACGTACGTGGGCTGAACAGATTAGTTTAGAAGTAAAACTCCCAAAACAAATAATTCGATTATAATGGTA